TCGCCTGGTATTCTGGACGGGAAGCCTAGAAGACCCAGTCATGCAGCTCAACACATATCTCTCATCACGACCTCTTGAGTCTCTAAAGTTTCGATCAGCGATGGCACTCACCAACGACAAGCGAACTCTATACGCTTGCAGCTCCGACGACGACTTCAGAGTAACAAAATTTACAATCTCCGAGGATGAATCACGTTGGGAAAGACAATGTGACATGGGGAGGGCTTATAATGACGAGACAGAGTACCTCCTGCAGTTGAAAATAGATAGACACGAGGAGACACTCCTGGCGACAACAGGAAATGGCTTTGTCGTATGGTTTTTGGATAACGCGTCGAAACCAGCTGTTCTCTCATTACCCAATGGCGTCAGGAATATCAACACCAGAATGCTATCGTCCAACTCGATAATGGTGAGTGGCACGAAGAATTATGCAGTGGCGGGTGTCAGGAAGAATCTCTATGTCTGGTGCTTGGAGACGTCTAATCTCGTAAAAATTCTGGACGCTCATTTTGCGAGGATCATCCAACTGGAGGCACTCACCATCGGCAACTGGAATAGCGTTATCACCTCTAGTATCGACAGAAGTGTTAAAGTATGGAACATCGACAACATCTTCGAGCAGGTTCATGTTATCGATCGACACGAGTTGCAGATTGATTCCATTTGTCTCGCCGAGGATTGCAGTCTAGCTGTGACTGTCACCAGGAGTTGCGTTGGAGTGTGGGACGTGCAGTCGGGAAAACTAGTGTCAAAACTAGCTGATAGTCCACTCGGGGCGATAGTAACCCACGCATCGATAACTCACGATGGAAAATTCATTGTTTCGACGGAATCTGGAAATCTGTTGATTTGGAATAGAATAACAGAACAGGTGCTGTTTAAAGAGGAACAGCCGGGTATCAGACAGCTGACACTCCTCCAGGACTCCACCAAGTGTCTTGCTGTGTCGAGACCCTCTAATCCCATTGGGGTGGAGTGCATGAAGACAACAGCAACGCTGGTGATGAGAAGTGTTCCTGATGGACGCACTCTGTTCTCGGTGGAGTACCCAGTTAGGAGTCACACGGGGATGCCCTTCAGGAAAGTAGTGCTCACGTCTGATGGAGCTTTCCTAGCTGTGCCTGCCGCCGAGAAACTTTCCAGGGACTTTGTCATTATTTATAACGCCAAGATCGGGGCTCTTATCAGCAAAATTCCAATCAAACTACCTGGGTTTAAGGATATTCTCAGTCTTGTTCCCATGCCTAATAAAGGGCAATGGGTCGGGATCATTGGAAGTGATAAAGGGAGCATCATTGATATAAATAAGAAGAAAATCATCAGGTCCATTCCAAGGTGGAGTGGCAATATCAGCAAAGATGGAAAGTACACGCTGTATGCTCCCAGCAGGTTTGTTATTCAGGGTGAAGACGGGTTTTCCGAAGAATACGAGAAGAATTTGCAGCTTTTTAAAAATTTTCAGTGTTGCACGCAATTTAACGATTAATTAACACTAAAA